GCTCCTGGCATTTGCGGATGACCTTTTGGTTTTAGTCAGGGGAAGTGATATCAGGATAATGACCAATAAGATAAATAGGGTACTAAATAATATACACAACTGGCTTGTCAGACATAAATTAACACTATCAACCGAAAAGTGTGAAGCAATCTGGTTCTCGAGGGGACCCAAAAGAATAATACCCCCCGCAATAAAGATAAACAACATTAATATCACGATCAAAAACAAAGTAAGGTACCTGGGAGTGATTTTTGATGCCCACCTTAAGTGGAACCATCATATCAACCAGGCAGTCAATAAAGCCCAAAATGGATGCAATCTTCTCCGAGCCTTTGCCAGAGTGTCGTGGGGGGCGGACCCAGTCACACTGCATATGGCGTATAACGGCCTTGTTAAGTCCCATCTTGATTTCGGCAGTTTTTTAATATCTAATGCAAGCAAAACACAACTACCTATGTAAACTTGATAAAGTTCAATACCAGGCATTAAGAACTATCACGGGATGTATGAGGTCTACCCCCACTAACGCACTACTGGCGGAGTGCTCGGAGTTGCCGTTGTCATACCGGAGAAAATGGTTAGCATCCAAATTTACCATTAAATTGGCTGGCTACATTTCACATCCCCTGCTCGATACCCTGGAGAGAATGAGCCGTGTAATATCTGGCAATCCTCACATCAGCAAATCTTGGTGCCTGGTGGAGGCCTACCAAGAGGTCAAAGTGTTTTTCAAACATATACACCGCAGCGATCTCCTGCCGTGTTTTGAATACGGTTTGGAGGTGCAGACAAGTAAAATGCCAATCCTAAACCTGGGGCTTGTCAAGGGCCAACTAAACGCAGACGCAGATTTCAATGGTAAAATTGATAATTTGAGACAAACTCATTGTGTAGTATATACTGATGCATCAAAGACCAAGCACAGAGCGGGTTTTGGGGTATTTAGTCCAGACTTAAATATAAGATTTGCGGCCAGGCTACCGGACTGTATTCAAATTTGCACGGCGGAGATCGCTGCGGTGAAAAAAGCGGTGGAGGAGGTGGGACTGAGGGGGGAGAGCAGATGCGTTATTCTGTCCGACTCTCTTAGTGCTATTTCCAAACTAACTAATTATAATTACCATGCCAAATGCGACGCCTTCAGCTTGGCTACCAAGAAACTTTTGTTGGATAAGGCTGGGTTCAGGTTGGCCTGGATCCCAGGGCATAATGGAATCAAGGGTAACGAAACCGTAGATCAATTCGCTAAACTAGGGGCAACCCTCGTTAACCCAGTAGAAACTAAAATGGGGACTTATGAGTTCATACCCACAATTAAACGGGATATTAAAAGAAAGTGGGATGCGGAATGGAGAGAAATATCTAGGTCAAAGGGTAAATTTTACGCAAAGGTACAAGCCGAGTTCCCAGAGGTACCAATTTTTAAAAAAATCAATTTTACTAACCGTAGACATTTAACTGCTATAATAAGAATGCGAACTGGTCACTGCCAATCCTTCTCCCACCTATTCAAGGTAGGGGTAAGAGACGACCCTTTTTGTGAATGTGGGCAATATGGGGACTTAGACCACATATTCCTGGAATGCCCAATTAACGGGGGGGAAAACCCAGATCTCTATTTGCAGCTACACAAAGCGGGAATTGAAAGGCCCTTTAATATGGCCACAGTCTTACAAAAGACCAATAAAGTAATCATCGACATAATTTTAAGATTTATAAACCTAAATAAAATCGCGATTTAGTTTGCAGCGGAAGTCATTAATGTTAAAAAAAAATAAAAAAGATAATAATAAATAAAATAAAAATAGTAAAACAAAAGTCCAATTTAAAAAATAAAAAAAAAAAAAAAAATATATATAAAAGTAACAACAAATATCAACACATAACGATCGATCTAATAGAAGGGAGCGGCAATAGGATCTCCTAGACTCGCACCTCCCCAGCCACAAACAAAGGCGTCAGCTGGCCAAATCCCGGAACCCTATTGAAAATGCCATATAGAACCATATAAAAAACACGTATCTGGATTCTATATGGTTTCTATCTGGTTCAATATAGGTATTTGAAACAGGCATTTCACTATAGAACCAGATAGAAGATTACATTATAGAACCAGATAAAAACACTCTAAAACACTATAGAACCAGATAGGGAAACCTATCTGGAAATACATATAGAACAGAAACCAGATAAATCCATATACATCCATATACATGTCTTTATAAAGACATGTATATGGTTGTATATGGATTTATCTGGTTTCTGTTCTATATGTATTTCCAGATAGGTTTCCCTATATGGTTGAATATGAATATTTTTAAAATGGAAAACCATATTCAACCATATAGAATCCGTAATGTTAACCAGGACTTTCCATATAGGACCTATAAAACCATATAGAACCAGATACGTTTCCTTATCGGATTCAATATGGGTTCTATATGGCATTTTCAATAGGGAAGGGAAAAGCCAAAAAGAACAAAGAAGAAGAAGAAGAAGAAGAAGTTTTGATATCACACTGAGCTCAAATGAGAAATCAACTTGATACGTTTTTGATCTCAAAGCTTGATGTATAAAATCACGCTGATATCAACTTGAGCACAACTTTGTTAGCCCCAGTAGTGGTAGTGGTAGTGGTAGTGAACGAAGGAGAATTCTCCTTCGTTCAACTAATAGTTTGATGAGACCAGTTTTGAAAAAAAATGGGTTAAGCTTAAACACATTAATGTGTTTATGCTTAACCCATTTTGTTTCTAATTAGAAGCTGAATTTATGATCAAAACTAATAATAAAAAGACTAGTAAAGAATTTGTTAATTTCTTAAAAAGCAATGGAAAATAAATTCTTGTTAAAGTTCCATCTTGTGAAAAATACATATAAATAATAATATTTTTTTATATTTTTATAATTAAAAAATTATATATGTTTTGAATTTTTTTCGAGGCAATTTCGAAATTTTCGAAACTAAAACATTTTTTTTAACAGAGATTTGCGTGTCCCGCTTTTTCATTTGCAAAATCTGGCTAGACTGGTTATACCGAAATGATAATTATTTATGGGGAGTGTGGGCGCAACGCCAGGGAGACAGCGCGAGTTTTTCCCAGCGCTTTCCCAATCGTTACTTTAAAACATTGTCGTTCTGAAGTACTTTTTTTGTAGGAAGCATAGATTAGATAAAGTGACTAGTGCACTGTCTAGACAGTGCACTATAAAAAATACCTGCACTGTCTAGACGGTGCACTATAGAAAATACCTGCACTGTCCAATATTCTCTGATATACGCGATATACAAAACACTGCTTAGGTTACATTGTAGGTTTGGTGAGTAGGTTTTTATTAGATTCTGTTTTGTGTTTATTATTGTAAATACTATATAAATACTATAAAATGAATAATATACCTACGATTCATAAACTTTCAGTTGGCGGTTGAAGCTGAAAGTTACATCATTAAAAATACATTCATAATGTGCTTTATAAATGCATGCATGTGTATCTCTATTGACCAATGGGGCGGAGGGGGGCCAATGGGGTGGGGTCGGTTGGGTTGTGTTGTTGAGTTTGGGTTGGTTTTGGTTGGTTTCGCTCACTTTTGCCCATTTTAGTTGATTAACAGTAGATCAGCTGATAAACCAAAGCGCATGTGCAGGATCGAAAGCCTTTGTGTATGGTCTGTAGACTCTAGTCATCAGGGTTGGGTATCTACCTACATTTTTGTTTTCGACATGTAGAAAACCTTTTTCGACGTTTTCGACGGTAGAAAACGTAAAAAAGTAGAATACTGTCAAATATCAAAAAATGTGAGGTTATGCAAGTTTGTTGTTTATTATGATTTGTTAAATGTTGTGAAAAATCAGACACCTACCATAAATTTGAAGTTATTTGGAGTTTTTTAACATTATTATGGTGGGAAAAAAAGGGCCACGTTTGGTTGGGAGACCCCAACATAATTTTTGGCATGAGGGCAAATTTTTATCAATTATAGAGAAGTGGAAGGAGAAGGTCGAATAAGGTAATTTACGTAGGTAGAAAACCCTATAGGTTTTCGACGCAAGTCGAAAACAAGTTTTCTACCCTTTTCTACCAAGGTAAATTACCTAAGGTTTTCTACTGACCCAACCCTGCTAGTCATAGATTAATAACCTAGACTCTAGTAACCGCCAACGCAAATTGAAAGCTTATGAATGGCGCTTAAGTGTCTGGCAGACACTGGAAAATGCAGAATTTTTAACCATGGACAGTGCAGGTATTTTTTATGCTGCACTGTCTGGACAGTGTAGGTATTTTTTAAACTGCACTGTCTGGACAGTGCAGGTATTTTCTATAGCGCACTGTCTAGACAGTGCACTAGTCACTCCCTTTTTTGTATCAGCCATAGATTAATAACCCCATTTTTAAAAGCTTTTGACAACTTGGTAAATACAGTTGGCCAAAAGATTTTTAAATGTTTTTAAGACAGTTCTATCGTCTCCTGGCAACTTTTAAAACTCCTACGTTTAACCTAGGCGAGAGCTCTCGGTATTGGCTGCCGCTTTTTTGCTCTCATTCGATTACCAATAAAAAAATTATTTTTAAATTTGGCATCTCCATTGCTATCGGCACGCCCCCTTTTTCTCTGTGGCGCGAGTTCTGGGACACCCTGTATAACAAATATGTATGTTTGTAATATTATGTCTATAGACATGTGAGTAAAAATAAAACACAAAGTTCCACACTTCATGTGGAAGTATGATTTATTATCTATGGAAGTACTTATTTGAAATACATATTTGAAATAACAAGTACATATTTGAAATAACAAGGTACCTGGCGACATCATTAGAGAATTTAACAAGTAATTTTAAAAACAAGAAATAATAGATCTAAGATACCTATATCATATTTTTACACAAAAATATGATAATATTTAAAATATTTAGGTAATAAATAGTGTATTTAAAATACGTAGTAAATACTCAATGAGGTAAATATTTCTGCTGAAATAAACGTAATTAACTTTAGGTTTTTAATGTTGGTATGTGTGATCCACAACAATAGTTGGTATGCATGGTTGCCATACAAGTGAAGTTAGTTATCTTTTACCGTCAGTCTGTTGAACAATTTTTTATACGAAAATGCCAAATCTGCTTGTGAAGGAAGAAATAAACGTTTAATTTGTTAATGAAGTAATTTTTTGTGAAATGAAACATCGTGAAAGACTGTGAAACAATTAGTTAAGTGCTTACATTTGATAGTGATGGACAGTTATGAAAACGCTCCCACCACTGCGCCATTTTTGTTGTAGTTGTTATTTTAAATTGTATTACTACGTTATTCAAGTGTTAATTTGGTGTGTTGTATTATTTTATATAAACCTTTTAAGTGATTAAGTAATATGATATTTGCGTTTATTGAAAAAAAAGTTTTCAAAAACTGGTTAAACTCCAACCTTCATAAACAGGGTCATCCCAGAGTAAACAAATTTTGGAAAATTTCTTCAGTTTAGTTTTTCAAAATGAATATTCCTCTACCAGTTAAAATTAAGACCGAGGATCCACTAATTGTGGATTTAAGTAAGTCAAATGTCCTAATTTTAATTTAAAATTAATAATTGTTTAATTGCAGCTGAACAAGAAGATGTTGTTGGCCAGTGGGATGCCAATATTCAAAAACAATTTATCAAGGGCTTTGTTGGGGATGAATATTTGCTTGATAAACTGATGAAGGAATATATTAGGTAAATTAAATATTTTTTATCTAGTAGGTACATTTTTAATGTTGTTTATTTTTAGGTCCTTACGAGAAGAAGCAGTTAATTTTAAAGACTACTTGGATGTAAAAGCAAAATTACTAAGCCATATAAAATATTTTCATTTATATCAGACAGAGTTAAATTGCTGTTTTATTGAAAAATATTTGGAAAACATGGAGGATATTTTGAAAGAATATTGCGACTTACAAGTAGAAATATTAACTGACACAAGAAAAAAACTGGGAAACAAAACTAAAAAACTTTTCAATCAAATCGTTAATGATGTTTATAAACATATAATATATATGTTTCAAGTATATTTGTTGAATAAGGAAGATCACATACTAAATGTTTTAATAAAAGTGAATATGAATCCCTTTCCGAAAGAATGCAATCAACTGTGGACAAAGATTTATATGTGAGTAAATAGTTTATAACGAGGGGGTAACAACTGAACCAAAATTTGTACATGTATTGCGCATTACGTGCCTTTTTTATAGTAATACCAGTAATACCAGTGTAATGTCAGTAATTCCAATGAAATGACAATAATTCCAGTATAATGCCAGTAATTCCAGTGTACTGCCAGTAATTCCAGTGTAATACCAGTAATTCCAGTGTAATGCCAGTAATTCCAGTGTAATGCTAGTAATTCCATATTTACTCATACATACTCTCTAAAAATGAATTAGTCAAAAATGACTAATTTAATAGTAATAAGTGGCTGCTTTTTCACTTGTAACATGGTTAACCATGAGATACCATTGTATCCCAAAATTTAACAGCCAATTCTTATGTAAAATTGTCCCCTGAATCCGAAAATGTCGTCAAAAGTTAAAAAAGTAGAACAGTTTTTGAGATATAGTCAATTTTCCATTAAATATGGAATTGACTTTATCTCAAAAACTGCTCCAGTTCCATAATTTTTGACGGTATTTTCGGATTCAGGAGACAATTTTATACAAGAATTGGCTATAAAATTTTGGGATACCGTGGTATTCCATGGTTAACAATGGTACAAGTGAAAAAGCAGCCAGTAATAACTATTAAATTAGTCATTTTTGACTAATTCATTTTTAGAGAGTACATTTTTGTTGGAAGAAAATAATATAAAAATAAAAGAAATCTTGACAACATCGATGAAGGGAACGCATTATCTGCACAGAATATTTGTATGAAACAAAATATAACATACAGTTTGGACATATTTATTATTTTCTCTTATTACATATATACAAACATACACATATATAGGTACCTACAACTAAAACATATTCTTAAACCATTTGTTTACGCGAATAAACATTTTAGTCGATCATATTTTCAGTTAAACATATTTTTCTTAACATCTTTGTAAAGTTTAATAATTGTTCATTTATCGTGTCTTGATAGTTGAAATGGTCCTGTTCCGATGATTTTTATTGGTCCAGTCGGTTTTTTTTAATAAATTCCGTATACAAGTACTTTCTCGTCTGCTTCTAAGAGTTCAAAGAGGTAATTTCTTGCAAATAAATTTATATTTTCAATATGAATATCGGTGATTTTTGATATCGAATATAGGTTGTTATAACCAGTGGAAATCATAAGGTTTTTTTACATGTAAACTGGTAACTGAAAACCATGTAGTTGAACTTTACTAATACATGCATTAACTAGACAAATTGATTCTTTTTCTGATCAAGATATTCTAAAAGATCAAATAAACTATAAAACAAGGGACAGAAATAGCTGGATCAGTCCATATCAAATCACCCGAAGGCCTTTTCCTCACCATCTCCGATTTTGATTATTACTGGTAAATTTGTTTTATTCATTAAAAAACTCAAAGATCCATTTTTTTGTAATAACAAGTTTGTTAAAAATCAAAAAATTGCAATATGTCAAATACTATTTAAAGTAAAAGGTGGGTCCTGTTTTAAAGGTCTTTTAGGGGCCTTTTTATGATATATCACATAGACTAATTTTTTCATCATTTTGAGAGAAAAAATTAAATATGTCGAAAATGCCTTTTTTATTTTTTTAAGAAAACTATATTTTATTGCAGCATACAGCATTGAATTACTATAAAGGAATTGAATTACTTTAAAGGAATTGAATCCTTTGAAAAATAATTAAATTTCTCAAATATCTTAAAAACAATTACCAATTACTTACAATTACTTTCTAGAAAGTAATTGAAGTGCCAATTATTTTTAAGGTTTTAAAAAAATAATTTAATTAAAGTAATTAAATTACTGTAAAGTAATTTAATTACATTTTCAATTACTTTAATTCAATTACTTGACAGATATTGCTATTTTTGTAAATCGGCAATTTTTCGATTTTCAAAAATTAATAAAACAAAAACACGTCATCGAAGAAAAAAGAAATTTGGGTTTTTATAAAACAAATTTACCAAAAATCATCAAAATCAAAGTTGGTAAGGGAAAAGAAGTATCCATTTTTTGGTTGATTTCGAGATCTAATATGGACTGAAATAGATGGAAAATATTAAAATTAGCAAGAACTCAAACAAGGACAACTAAATTCTATTAAATTTTGCAAAAATTACAAAAATTTCTTTTCTTGCTCAATTGTCAACGATTGCCAATAGGTTGACGAAACAGTGCGGAAAGAATTAGTACCTAAGCTCGCAGGAAATAAAAACTAATATGTACACATAATTATGCATAAGCCATAATATTACCACCCAGCTCCAGAAGATTTAAGTTTTTTCTATCACAAGTTTAAAAATATTGGGAGAAAAATACATTTTTTCTTAAAAATGTTAATCTATAATTAATTTTAATGTTAAAGTCAGGAAAAATGTAAAATTATTTACTTACATTGTGGTTTTACTGTAATTTAATACGTTTTGTTTTAATTTTTTAAAGAATTTATCAGAATGACAAATGTATGGAAATCTTATAATCTAAAATTATTTAAAGCAGAAATGCCAATTTTCGATTTAAAATACAAAAATCTTAGGCCCGTATGGATATTTAGCTTTTAATACGGCCTTGTTTTCGTCAATCACGTGAACAGAGTCTACAGTAAGTTCTTGTTAAATAAAAATACACTTCATCCTGGGTAGAAACGCTTCTTCAAAAATTTCAGGAAATTTTTAAGGAGAATTGTGGTTCTTGGGGCAATTCCCTTTTTTAGCAAATGTTCTAAATGATGAGCAAAAACTAAATATCTTAGTAAAATTAAAAATACCTATAAATGATTTTATTTCACTTACCTCGAGCTTAAATTTAAATACCTAACTAAACAAACACTGCAATTCACAACCAAAAAATCAACCTTAATGCCATAAAATACGAGCGTAATGCCGTAATTCGTACGTAATGCCGTGAAATTTGTAAGTAATGCAATGTAATGCCGCCTAATACCAGCGTAATACTGCGGAATGCCAACATAATGCCACATAATGCCGGTAATGTCATGTAATGCCGCCGTAATGCGGGGTAATGCCTCACAATTTGTACATGTATTGCCAGCAGTTGTTACCCCCTCGGTTTATAAGCTAAAAAATGACATATTAAAAATAATTTTAAAAAATCCAATACACCTACCACTATTTAATGCAGGTAATATAATATATGAGGCCATTATTTGCAAAACTCTCTCTTTGCTATTTGGTTTACTTTTCAGGAGCAACAAAAAACTTTTTAGCTTGAAGGCAAACAACCCCCTAAATGGATATAAAGAGTTTTGCAAATAACTGATTTTATATAGCAAAGAAGCAGATTTATACAGTTTAAAGGTGGCAATACATTCCTTATCAAAAATCTGATAAAATTAGTAAAAAAGTGGATTTTGATTATTTTGTCGATTAGAGACTTTTGCAAATAATGGCCTCATATACATATTATGTTCTTATAATATTATAAATTTAAAGAAAATCACAATTTAAGGTAAACTGTGTGATTTAGTTGTTGTCAAGTACTGAAATTTAAAAAAAATAATACCTATCAGGTTATAAATTAATTAATTTACATTAATTTAGTTTATTCTGTTATTATGTTCTATCTTGTAAATGGTTTACATAGATAAAAGAGGATGTGGGATGGTTTATCTATAAATTTTCAAAATATTTAAATTTATTTGAAACAGGAATAACCGAGGGAATAACATGTTAATAATATTAAAAATAGTACAAAATAAAATAGAAGTGAATCAGAGAGTGAAAAAAGGACCAAGTCCATTGGAAGAAACTGATATAATTCCAACGTTCTTTTACTTAGTGCATTTGGCGCCAAACACGTAAAGAACACTTCATGTTAGGATTTGGACTTTTCTTGGGCTTAAGCAATAGATACACATATAAAGCCTTACTAAAAGTACTACTTACTCTGTTGATTTTAAAAATCCCCATTGATTATTTTGCTAACTTTTTTTATTTATATAAGAGAATTTACTTACTTTTTATTTATAATACTTACCTACGTTTAAACGGTTTTTATGATTTTATCATGTTTAAAAAAAGGCCACTATGCTTACATTTTTTGTATGCATTACGTACGCGTAAATACTAACAAAAGTCGAGTATCCGTTGCGCTTGTCATGAAAAATAGTGTACATATCTCAATAAAGTATGCTCTTTCCATTAAGAATACGTAAAACTATTTTAATCTATGTATTCAACTTCAAGTTGTTGCTGTTGCATTCTTGTTTTTTCCATAACAACTGTTTTTTGATGTGTGATATTTTGGTTTAGTTTTTTAAACTTAAATGCTTTATAACTCAAGAACTACTTGTCCTAAAAAATAATTGTAATTGTTTTTATACTTAAAATATTAAGTGGGAAGCAAAGTATATTATTGTATTTTACTTCTAAAACAGTACAATTACTCAAGTAATCAGCATAATGTGAATATGTCAATTTTTATAATTTTAAACTAAACACTTGAGTTTCAAAACCACAGTAGAAAAATAGTAAGTCTAGTTTAAGGAAAAAAAATATAAACAACAAATATTATGCATAAGAATGCATAATTTTGATAATGGAAAAACGTTTTGAATTGTATAAAAATATGTTCATGAATATTTTAATACCAAACTGTTTTTTGAGCATTGTCTATTGATTAATTATGGCGCTACCAAAGTAAAGAACACACATACACCCCCCACAAAAGGTATTTTCATTATTTATTTAAGTATACTATAGTACTATTTTATGTGGACAAGCTAGGAAAAAATTAGTTAACAATAATTTTTTATTAAATTATTCTTTTTCTAGAGAAGGATGAGCACTTTTAAAAGCGCTCATAAATGCTCGCTTATAAATAAATGCTCGAGCATTTACCAAAGTGCTCGATATTTAAATTTGGCCCCAAAACTAAAAAGCGAGGTTATAAATTAACCATATAACCAAAGATAATACATTATCTTTGCATATAACTACTGTTTACATCAGAACATGTGTAGGTCACAAGAGTGGTGCAGGTGTATTCCAAAATGGTTTACTTACCTTTATTTTGTTTGAATTTTTTTTTTCAATAATTTTTTTTATAAAATTTAAATTTCATCGTTTATAAATGCTCGAGCATTTATGAGCGCTTATGAGCATTTATGAGCGCTTATGAGCACTTATGACCGAATTGCAAAGCGCTTGAGCATCTGTCATCTAAATTTTTTTTTCAAAAATTATTTTGTAATTTACTTTTTTAAGTAACAAATAAATGTTTATTAATTGTTAATACAAATCTACAGGGAAAGTTAAACTTATTATTAATTTTCTTTGCAATTATTAAAATTACAACTTAAGTTTTAGTTTATTATCTGTGCTAACAAAAAATATTGTTTTAGTCACTATTTTAAAAATAAACCTATGGATCTGTCCGACGAGGCTTTTTGCAGAGCTTACATTATTTACCAAAGATGGAAAGAGTTCTATCCAAAGAAGTTCCATCGGCTTCTCAATTCCACGCTGTTTTCACGTTATGAACGAACAGAGGATTCGATTTGCGAAAGTGAAACGCTTAAAAGGATTCTGATGCCGAAAAGTGACTCTACATTGGATGCAATATCACATATATCTGGTCAAGTTTATTGCATGTCCAACGAATATTTTAAATACATTCGTTCAAATAGAGACATAGACACAAATATAAACCTGACCGACGATGAAGATGTCAATGTTCCGGTTTTGGTAAGTTTATTGTATTTAAAATTGGATTTGTAAACCTTAATTTTTTTTAATAGGATTGCGATGAGGAAGACGACGTTGATTTTTTAAATGAATACAACAACGTTCTTATGAACATGACAACTTTAAATGACAAGGTGGATGAGTCTTTGGAAGATGATGACGACGTTCAAATAATATCCGTCGCATTAAAAGATCCTCCAAAAACCAATAAAAAGCAGCCAATCATCATTGATCTTATTGATGATGATGATGATGATGAAGATACCCCTGTTGTGGTAAGTAATTTTTTATATATGGAAGCAGTAGCAGTAAACCCCTAAAATAGTTCAATCATAAAGTAAAAGAAAAATGTAAAACCAGTAAAAAAGTGAAATCAAATTTAATAAAACAAATGTTATAAAAAAAAATTACAAAAAAACGTCAAAAAGAAAATGCCCTTAAAATTGATTGAGGTTTAAAAATATTAATATTAATAAGAATATTGGACTGTATTAACACCTGTATCTGCGCAACTTGGGTTTAAAATGAAGTTAAAAATCATGATGATAAAGAGGAGACGACGTCAAGCGTCTAAAGCGAGTTGACCTCCGCCATGGACTACCACACTTCTGTCAGTTTTTGAGTTTTTAGGTATTTTTATAAGATATTTTGAGTTGTTGCAGTAGATGCGATGTGGATAAAAATGTAAATAGATAATTTTAGGTACCTACTATACAATTTAGGGTACATATTTTTAACAATGAATCTATCTACAATCGTGTTTGACAATTTTTCAGAACATGAATGTATTTTGAGTCGTATTCTACACGTAGAGATAATAACTGAGATATGGCATATGCAAAATCCATATCCAAATTTATTAAATATTTTTGTAAAGTGAGTTAAATAAGACAAGCCCTCTGACAAGCCTCAGAACCCCAATTGGTTAGAAGTAGTGCGTACAAATAAAGGGTGATTCATTTAGACCTTTTTTTTAATTCTAAATAAAACGCATAAAATGAAATTGGATGGCGGAATCTTTATTATGACCTGAAAGAACGATCTTTGACATTTTTTTTTAATAATTTCATTTAAATGCTGGCCGCGTACAGCGTGGTCCATTCGGAAGGTCCAATTTTTGGATGCGCGAGAAAAAACGTAATATTTGTGACGGAAAACACATTGTCACAGGTACCTCCAGGCCCGTTCAAACCCCCTCAGGAGGGTTTTAAATTATAATTTTTACTTAAAATACTGAACAATTATTTATAAATATACCTACCTATATTTTTTACGAGTTTCATAAATCTAGTGAAGCTAAAAATGGTCAAAATTGACCCCCTTTCCCTTTCTTGTAACGATGTGAAGATTATCGTATTATCTACCCCTAACTTAGTTTTTCCGATTCTTTTTTGTACTCGATCTGACAAAAAATAGAAAGAATAAGCAATTTTATTCGATTTTTTTGTCACCTGACGTTTTAAAAAGACCTCCCCCCCTCCAGATTTACGAGATTTATGGACGGCCCTAACTCACCTATTTGTTTTTATTTGATTTTTTTTAAGACAACAAACACAGCATTATGAAAAAATCTAAGAGTCTGAGCATTCGCGGATACAGGGGGGTGCAATTGTCCCCCTTAACTCACCTATTTGTTTTAATTAAAAAAAAAAAATTAAGACAGAAACACAGCATTATGCAAATCCAAGTATTCCATGGAAACTAAAATTTTACAAAATTTTTGTTTAGAAGGCATTTTCTGAATGTAAAATGTAAAATCACACAAAAATCTACCCACTCTTACTAATGTTTATTTTACTAAAAATTGTACCAAAATTATGTTAAAATTCATTTTTGACCCTTTTATGATCTTATGAAACACAAACAAGTATAAACCATGCACGGGGGGTTTTGGGTGTTCAGTAGGGTTTTAAATTAGAATTTTTAATTAAGATACTGAAAATAACCTAAAAATATATATTTTTTATAAAAATGTTGAATTTTTATAATTTTTTTTGGGCCAGTCTAGATGTCCATTCGGCCAATCTGACATAGCGGCCCACCGGGATCTGTCCCGGCGTCCCGCCGGAGCCCATCCGCCCCTGGTCGTCTCCTCTTTATCATCATGATTTTTAACTTCATTTTAAACCTAAGTTGCGCAGATACAGGTGTTAATACATTCCAATATTCTTATTAATATTAATATTTTTAACAATCAATTTTAAGGATATTTTTGACGTTTTTTTGTAATGCCACGAGCGAAATTTACAATGAAAATTCTTGAGTAAATAAAAACGAATATTTTTGTAGGCACTGTTTCTTTAACTGCCGATTCAATTTCTGAATGATTTTTTTGAACAAAACGCATATTTTTTGACATTTTTATTTTAAAATTAGAAACGTCAATAATAGCTATTTTCGCGGAGCTAATCCCGAACTAATTCCGGACATCCTAGGCACGCGCTTTTTAAAATTTGGGGTTCAAAATGTAAAGTGCGCATGACAAAAATTAAAATGCGCATGCCTAGGATGTCCGAACTAGTTCTGGATTAGCACCGCAAAAACAACTATTAGCTGGCCATACACAGACGTTATTTCGCGCGGTTTATCGTGTTATCTGCAAAAATATATGGAAAATCATGTACGTGAGTGAGTATCGCCTCGCGCAATGATAGAACGGGAAGGTATTTCAGACGTGCTTTCCTCTGGATTGTGGCGTACATCATTTCAGCAGTGTCCACACGCCACATTCCGCGTCACGTGACACTTTTTGCCCACTCACATACGATTTTTCCTTTGAAACTGATATACTACGCGCAATCACTTGCTAAATCATTTGAATACTTTATTAAGTGTATGGAACATGACGCTTTTTTTGCCATGCCGTTCTTTCGTGCATACTAACCGCTACATCCCAACACGCCACGATAAACCGCGCGAAATAACGTCTGTGTATGGCCAGCTATTAGCTGGCCATACACAGACGTTATTGCGCGCGGTTTATCGTGTTATCTGCAAAAATATATGGAAATCATGTACGTGAGTGAGTATCGCCTCGCGCAATAGCTGGCCATACACAGACGTTATTTCGCGCGGTTTATCGTGGCGTGTTGGGATGTAGCGGTTAGTATGCACGAAAGAACGGCGTGGCAAAAAAAGCGTCATGTTCCATACACTTGATAAAGTATTCAAATGATTTAGCAAGTGATTGCCCGTGGTATATCAGTTTCAAAGGAAAAATCGTATGTGAGTGGGCAAAAAGTGTCATTTATCGAGTCGTTTGAAACTGCATGTGATCATGTACAAATTTTCAACGTGAAATTTTGCCAGGCAAAGGTAAACCGTGACGCGGAATGTGGCGTGTGGACACGCCACACTCCAGAGAAAAGCACGTCTGAAATCCCTTCCCGTTCTATCATTGCGCGCGGCGATACTCACTCACGTACATGATTTTCCATATGTTTTTGCAGATAACACGATAAACCGCGCGCAATAACGTCTGTGTATGGCCGGCTAATGATAGAACGGGAAGGTATTTCAGACGTGTTTTCCTCTAGAGTGTGGCGTACATCATATCAGAGATAACCCGAGATATCTCTGATCATATCAGCAGTGTCCACACGCCACATTCCGCGTCGCGGTTTACCTTCGCTTGGCGAAATTTCACGTTGAAAATTTGTAAGTACATGATCACATGCAGTTTCAAACAACTCGATAAATGACACTTTTTGCCCACTCACATACGATTTTTTCTTTGAAACTGATATACCACGCGCAATCACTTGCTAAATCATTTGAATACTTTATCAAGAACATGACGCTTTTTTTGCCATGCCGTTCTTTCGTGCATACTAACCGCTACATCCCAACATCCCACGATAAACCGCGCGAAATAACGTCTGTGTATGGCCAGCTATTGACAATTATTTATCTCATATAAACTAATTGGATGCCATGCAACTCGTATAAACGATTGTTTTTTCACCTAAATACCTAGTAGTTTTATCGCTGCAACTCGCAACACTGCACTCGTTTTCTGAAATCTGATTGGCCCATTAAATAATGAGTGGAATATTCGTATATAATACCACTAAAATTTTACCGCTAGGCGAGTGGTTTTAAGTTAATGCCACGAGCGAAATTTCCAAGGAAAAATCTTGAGTAAAAAAATCAAAATTTTTTTCAGGGAAAATTTTATCAGGAGTGGTATTCGGCAAGACTATTTCACGAATATTTTTAACTGCTGATTCAATTTCTGTATGATTTTTTTTACCAAAACGCATACTTTTTAACATTTTAATTTTAAAATTAAAAACGTCAACAGTGACAACTATTTTTAGCATAGAAACCAATTGGTTGCTATGCAACTCGTATAAACGAGTGGTTTTTTCGTAAGTAATATCGATGGTTATTTGACAAAACATCGTAAGCGACAATTTTGTTGAATTACTTTTTATTTTATCAAAGTGTCAGTTACGATAAGCTGCACATGTTAACATAATAGTTATTCCAATTTTGGAATCTAATATTGGTCAGTTTGAATATTTTTATTATTGTAAGCGCCTCTTCTTTTTAATTTGTTACCGATTTATAACGTAAGCGCCTATATGTTCCCGACAAATAATCGTAAGCAACTCCAAGACATGGCGTTTGCGATTTAACATTGTGTCGTACGATAATATTGTGCTCCCGCCTTGATCTATCAAGGCGTTATTCCCGTTCTAAACAGTTTATTCGTGAGTATACCTGTATCGTGGTGATTGCTACCACAATCCACAATGTGGATTGTGATGGCTACCATGTTTTAAAACAATATTTTATTTGATCAAAAGCTTATAATTCCTTTTTATCATTGCATTATTAATAGTTATCCTAATTATAATTGTTTTTACGTAGTGTGGTTCGTTAAAAGTGTTTTTTGTAATATTATAATTGTATGTTGTTATAACGTCAAATAATTTAACTCAAATTTATAACGGTTAGATGACGGCCAAAAAATTTCGAACGACCTGTCATTCAGTTGATTTCAAAATGTAAAACTGCCTTTAGTAACAACTAACCTTACTTTCTGAAAGTTGTCAGTTTGACGTATTTCATTGTTGATTGTGTTGTTTTAAGGTTAGATTCTCTGTCAACTTTTTGAAACTGCTTGTCATCTTGTCAAAAATGTCCCTAAAGGTTGGTTTGCACAGACATTAAGTTCGGCCTCCTTGTGTAGGCTCCATGGGTTAGATACTGGTTTGTGAATAAAAATCGTTCGTTTTTTTCAAAGAAAGCTAATGTAGATTTTCATTTT